GTGCACTACTACAACGTGCATACTACTGGCCTCAAATGCGGGACGACATTGCAACCTATGTAAAAATCTGTCTTATTTGTCTGCAAGATAAGGCAGATCATCAGAAAAAGGCGGGCTTGCTGGAGCCCCTTTCCGTTCCATCCCGGCCATTTGAAAGTGTATCGATGGACTACATTATTGGGTTGCCAAAAGTTGAGGATTTTGGCACTATCATTGTCGTGGTGGACCGTCTATCAAAATATGCAACTTTCATTGCAGCGCCTAAGTATGTATCTGCGGAAGAGACAGCTCAACTCTTCTTCAAACATATTGTCAAATACTGGGGGCTGCCTAAGGACATCGTCAGTGATCGAGATCCTCGTTTCACTGGCATATTTTGGACTGAGTTGTTCAAACTTCTTGGTTCAACTTTGAGCATGAGTTCCAGTTTTCACCCACAATCTGACGGACAGACGGAAGCGCTTCAATTCTATGCTAGAAGAATATCTTCGGCACTTTATCTCTACTTCGCAGAAAAACTGGGTAAAACTTTTGGATGCGGCCCAAATTTGCTTCAATGTCCAAAAGAGCTCTTCCACCAATAAGAGTCCTTTTGAGATTGTTACTGGCCAGCAACCGCTACTCTCTCATACAGTGGATATGGAACGAAGTACCAAGTCCCCTCAAGCAAAGAGCTTTTCTCAAGAGTGGAAACGAAATATTGAAATTGCTCGGAGTTATCTTGAAAAAGCTCAAAAACGGTATAAAAAGGCTGCAGATCTAAAGCGCCGTTTTATTGAATTCAATGTTGGAGATATGGTAATGGTTAAGCTTCCCGACAGAAATGTTTACAAACCAACAAGAGGGAAGGACTCAAGATTGTCACCAAAATACATTGGACCATTACCCATTGTGAAGAGGATTGGAAGACTTGCATACAGAGTTGAACTCCTTTCATGGTGTAAAATCCACAAGGTCCTTCATGTTAGTGTGTTGAAGCCATACTTTTCGGATAAGGAGGACGCATCTAGAAATGAGCCAAAGCGACCTGTATTTGAACTGAAGAAGGCTGGAAAGAAGGTTGCTGAAGCTATTCTTGACCATCGAATCACTCGGGCTTCTAGAAAAGATCATCAGGAGTACTTGGTCAAATGGATGGGATGCAGCAGCGAGGAGAATACTTGGGAAAGAGAAAAAGATCTCGGGGCCTTCAAATCATTAATTGAAGCGTATCATGCATTGATGACACCGAGGACGTCGCCAAAACAAATGAGGGAGAATGTCAAGGACCGCAACTTTACTTAGCCCCTTGACACTATCGCAGCCGCAGTTTGCCCAACTTCGACCGCACATTGTAAATATTACTTCAAGTTTGAGTTGTAATTTTCGTTTCATTGTAATAGTTATTTTAATTGTAAAATAGCTCTGATATTGGTAAAAAATTAGTATGATTCCTTGTCTTTTAAACGTCTACTCCCGTCACTTGGGTTTTTGTTCAGAATGCTATTATAGGGGGTATTAGTCATTCAAAAATCTTTCAAGCTCACTGGTGTCCGCCCCCTGCACCAGCATTTGTAATTTTCTGCTTTCATCAATTGTAATGTTCAGTTTTCAGCAATCAATGTTCAATTTACTTTCAATGTATTCAAATTCTCAATTGTAAGCTTTCTACAAAATTGCAATCAAATTTTCTTTCGTCCCGACGCGACCGAGAAAAGGCGGAAGGTAGTCTAGCGGAGCAGACTACTGCCGCACGGTGTCCCTTTCTGTGCCAAGAAGAAAGGCACCCCGTGAAACAGGGGCTTGCAACATCTAAGAGTAATTATTTACTAGTGTCAAGACCAAAAACTCTTCCTCATTATCCAAAATTTTTTAATCATACACACCCCCACTAGTATTTGGCTTATTACTCTCCAAACCCTCGTCAGACTCCCCATTCCTTGGAATGTCAATGAACTTCTCGAACTAATTATGGGAAACTCCAAACTTTTGCAACAATTACAGTCTCCATCCGATTTAGATCTCACAATCTCGGATAATATTACGTTAGTATTACTACTTCTATTATGGATCAACGAATTATGAATATTGGAAGAGCTCTCGCTGGTGTTCAAGTGATTCAAAGAGGTGAATTGATTAAATAAGTGATGAGAACAATCGGAATATGACGAGAGTGACAAGGAGGGGTGGTGGCGGAGGAGGAGGAACTAATCTACAATGAGGCCCATTTGGTAGATTTAGATGGGGGATGGGGGGTGCCAATTTTTTATTTTTAGAAGATTTCAAGAAAATGAATATAGACCTTTAAATTGATTTAAATTAAGGGTTGGGATTATTTGTCAAATTCACTTGTCAAAAAGCTTTGTGGGAGGAACGCTACCTTTTGTTACCCATGCTGCTCATTATTACTCATGTCTATTTAAGTAAATTTATATATGATTTAAAATATAGTAAAATTTTACTTCTAAAAGTGGATGTACTTATAAAAAGCGTGGATGAAAATAGCGCTACCCATTACTTATCATATGTTAATGTCAATGTTATATTTGGTCCACAACATATTGACGAAAGACTTGTTCATGTACAAAAACTCCACGAACACTGGACAGAACCTTTAAAGGGGGTGAGATTTTTTTGGCGTACACATTTCATGCTTTATTAATAAATTATATAGATAATTAAAGTGAAATTTAGAAAAATGTATTTGGGGTACCATTAATTTACTTTAAAAAAAAAAAATTGATACACTTGGATTGATGCCTATCGGTAAGAGGAAGCTCGAGATTCGTGTATGTTGTGCACAACTTATTTTATCAATTTGAATCAACAAATTACAGAAAAAATGGGTGGGTCACATAGATCTCGTATTCTTCCTAGAATGCTATGATTCTAATAGAAATGAGCAGAAAAACTACAAAAGATTTACCTTGGTTACCGTTAAATTAATGAGAAGTGAGAACATAACTTTGTTCAAGAAACAGGCACTATATGTTTATACTCTGTTAATCTTACCATAGGAAAGAAACACGAGAAGTAACCAAAAAAAAAAGGAAAAGGAAAGGAGTGTGAGAGTGAGAGAGAATTCATTTTCCATCTTCAAAATGGAAAGGAGTGTGAGAGTGAGAGAGAATTCATTTTCCATCTTCAAAATGGTGAAAGATACTTGGCATCTTGAGCAATGATTAGCCTTCTAACAATTGTTGAGATGATCTTCAGTGCATTACGGCCACAAGCATGAAGATTCTTAACTATTCTCAATTGGATCGAGCTGGAAAATTCATTAAAGCTTGGTCAATGTCATGAAACAAAAATCTAGTACCTATTATAAAACCAGTAGCTTTCATATATTTGATATTTCTTCAGACCCCCAAGCAATGTTTATATAATCATGATATGGGTGAGATTTGTCTCCTGCTCTATACTCCAAGACTTTAATCGTTTAGAGGATTTCGATTACTCAATTTCATTTTCTCCCCTGTAAGGTTAGATGGTTTTATTGACATGAGGCCTACCCTTGATTGCTCATCCTTTATTTATTTTTCTTTTAAAAGAAAATCAAATTTTAGGATAAAACAAAAACAAAACACTCCACTGTTATAAATATAGACACATTAAATGAAATAATTACAAGTTAATACTTGGAAAATGTCATAGATAAAATAAAATGTGCATTTTCGTAACCAACCATTATCTGTCACCGCCTCTTATAGTGTGCGATGTCACCCGGATGCTTAGCTTCTATCATCCAAACGTCCTCAACTCAAATTTGTTAAACAGAAGATCTAGCTAAGCTATTTAAGTATTTTTTTTTCGCTTCTATTCATATCATATCGTTAGTTGTTTGGGCTCCTTTCTCCATGGGGATCTCTTTTCTTTTCCTTCTTCGAGCTCTGGTTATGGAAAAAGATACCGCATCTCAGTTGACACAACTCTTGTGTCTTCAAGCAGCAAGAAAAAAGAAAATAATGGCTTTACGTACTCCACATTGCAGGGTTATATAAATACAACCATCTTTTTCTCTCTCTTCAATTCTCAATCTCAAACATTAACAATCGTTCCGTTCCGTTCCGTTCTCTTCTCTTCTCTCACCGAAACAATCAATTGAAATAACCATTTTCCCATCAATTCACGTTTCCACCGGTGTATACAAGATGATAAATTTAAAGTAAGCTTTTGGGGCTATAAGTGTTATGCCCTAGGTCTAATCGATTTAGGTTGTAAACACTTTTTAATATATTTAATACATTTATTTTGACAAGATCTATTATTTATTTGAATCACTATTCTAATAAATGATATTAAATAATAGAGTCCGTAGATTTAAATTTTAGTATTTGTTAATCACAATAAGTTATGATTGTGAGATACAAATTACAGATGATTGAATTTTAAATTATTCATGGTCGTAAGTAATAACGAGATATGAATATCGTTACTACAAATAGATCATCATGTGTGACATTTCTTACTTATGAAGTAAATAGTTGACCTCATGAGTTAAAATGTGGTGACACCTAAATGAACACAAATATTTTATTGTAGAACAAAACATTAGAGACCCACTGGGAAGATTTCACATTGATAACTATCTGAGTTTTAGTGGTTAATCTTTAAAGTTCGGTAGTAAAATTGTTCCTTCGACTTGTGGTTGTCATAGTGCTTTATATAAGGATAGTCATACTTTGATGATGTTGGATGTTACTCAGCCAAGGATTGCTAATATGACGTCATTAAATTACGTCAAGAATTATATGAAAGTTGTGAATAATCAATAGAAGATTCGTCATTCTTAGATAATAAGAGATTATGATTTAAATTTCATCTAGTTAAGTCGATAATGAGATTATTAGCCAAGATGTACTCATAAGTCGAAAATGAGTTTTCGACTTATATTGACTTGATAGTGAAATGAAAAATATGATCGATAATTGAGATTAACATATATCCATATCTCTTAATTGATCAGATCATATTCACGAAAGAATTATAGTTTTACGGCAAACAAATAAATTTGGTTTTATCATACCACACGATATTTTTCGTCATATGTATTGTTTTGACACATTACTAGATATCAATTTGGGACGACGAATGTGAATTAACAATAAATTAAAAGACGTGTTTTAATGTAGCGATTTTGATTAGATTAAAATAATAATTTAAGTTGTTAGCTAT